GGAGGAGCTGAAGGACAAGGATGATCGCATAGCTGGGTTGGAGGCCAAGATGGCGGATAAAGAGGCAGGATGGGAGGAAAAGGAGGCAGAACGAGCGAATAATGGAGATGATGAAGATGATGTACTCGAACGAGCCGTTCCCGTAGTTTCTGTTTTTTTTTAAACTCTGAATGTTTTTTTTTATTTGTACAACTTTGAATATTATCTAATAGGTTTTCTATTTCAATGTTTATTTTATATTTTCGAATTTCAATTTAAAAACAATTAATTTATAATTTTATAAAAAAAAATAATTTTTGGAATATTCCGAGGAAGACTATCTCTCGGAATAGTCCCAGGGCTTCAGTTCCTCAGATTATTCCGAGGGTTCAAGTTTCTCGGAATATTCCAAGGGTGTGTGTCCTCAGAATATTCCGAGGACTGTTTCCGAGGAATGTTCCATCAGAAAAATCCGAAGAAATTCCGACGAAATTTTCCTAGGAAACTGTTCTCGATATTCCCTCGGAATTTTGGTTCTCGGTATTTCCTCGAAATTTTCCGTGGATATTTGTATTTCTGACGAAAAACTTCCGACGACCGTAATCGTCGGTATGTTCTCGGAATACCCTTATTCCGATGACATACCGACGAATATTGCCATCGGAATCACGGTGTTTTCTTGTAGTGGACTGCATACTGCAGTTTGTGAATCATCTCCAAGAAAATCACAAGAGCTAGCTTGGCTTCACCGGAAATGGGACGAGCCTCCACGACACCGAAAAAGACCACAAATCCACCAAGGTAAGACCGAAAACCACCGCCATAAGACCCGTAAAATACCACAAGCCAAGACGAGAAGCCAACCTTCTCTCCAAACCTCGAGCACCAAGACCAATCGGTGAGATATATAACTTTTGAAACACAATCTACTCACCTATCAAGAAAATCCGACTCCCCCAACAAACCCAAACCACCCAGCGCTGACGCTAGAAAAGGTTGGAATACCATTGGAACCGTAACACCTCGCGAGCGCACGATAGAGCCGGAGATGTATGCCAAACCAGAACCAATCACAAGACGATGAAGAAGCCAGGGTGAAGAAGAAGCAAAAGGTAAAGAGAGATAGGGAAGAAGAGATATCTAGCGCGTGAGATAGGGAAGAGGGGATATCTAGCGCAGGCACGCGCTCTTACGCGCCAAAAACCACTGCCATAAGACCCGTGCAACACCACAAGCCAAGACCAGAAGTCAACCTTCTCTCCAAACTTCGAGCACCAAGACCAATCGGTGAGAGATCTAACTTTTGAAACACGTTCTACTCACCTATCAAGAAAAGCCGATTCCCCCAACAAACCCGAACCACCCAGCGCTGACGCTAGAGAAGGTCAAAACACCATTGGAACTGTCACTCCTCGCGAGCGGAAGATAGAGCCAGAGATGTATGCCAACCCAGAACCAATCACAAGATGATGAGGAAGCCAAGGTGAAGAAGAAGCAAAAGGTAAAGAGAGATAGGGAAGAGGGGAGCTCTAGCGCTGGCACGCGCTCTTACGCGTCGCCGGGCGACGCCGACGCTAAACTTCAATGTGGTCTGAAAACTGAGAGGATGTGGAGTGAGAGGATGAGGAGAGCTATATACTAATCTTTTGTTACATAAAATGTTTTCTTAAGGATTTAATGTAAAATTTTATATGGACATATCTAGTTTTTTGTATTTTTAGAGTCATAAAAGTGAAATTTAACAAACTTTCAAAGATTCACATGTATTTGTATGAGTATGCACTACGAGTGTCACTTGCTAACACTGAAGTGTTTTTTGTTAGCATTTTAAAAAATTCTAAAAATAAGATCAAAATATTAAAAAAAATAAATTTTACTTATTTGTTTGTGTTTATATATCTAGTGTATAAGAGTCTTTTGTGTCTTTAATGAAACATTTTGGCCATATTTCTTCTTAGAATTTTTTTTGGGACAAACTTATAATAATCTATATGAGAGAATTATTAGCCCTGGTGGCCAACATCAATTTTTAATTTTAGCTCTTATTTTAGAATTGTAGAATTTTAAAATTTTATTTATATTTTTGAAGTTTGACATTTTAATTTTAGATCTTATTTTTGAATATTTTAATATTTAAATTTTTTAACTTTGAAGTTTTAATTTTTATATTTTTCAATTTTTAGTTTTTTAAATAAAAAATTTTGAACTTTTTACATTTTTCCAAATTTTTATGTATTTTATTAGTTAAAAAAAATAGAAATCAACATGTCATTCTTTAACATGTAAAATGAACAGTACCAGTCCCTTAGGTACATGAAATCGTAGTTGGAGGTTTTTATGATAAAAATGTCACTTCAAAAGTTTAAAGTGGTAGCCCAAAAACTTCATTGCTTAAAGTTATTTAAATGCGATTTTCCCAATCCGATAAACAAATATTTCATTTTTATAATTTGCATGAAACCTGGTAAAGGAACGCTTATATCGAAACGGATGTGGATGACATATGCGTAGTGTATTCTTTTTCTTTAAACGAATGTAACGAATGTGCTGTGTGACGGGATGCTGATGGTTTGCTATTAACCAATAAACTAGATCTCGACCCGCACAACCGTGCGGGTTTTCTTTTTATTTATAGTTTATAAAAACAAATTATCAATAAATAATAATATATTTACTTATAAAAATCGGGCAAAATATTAAAATAATAGATGTAAAAGTATCATTTTTAAACACAACAAAAAATATAAATTATCACTAACAAATATTTATCTATAGTGTATCTAAATAAATTTTAAAATGTATTGTATGCAAATTCCAGAAATTAAAACTCTATATTAAAGAAGATTATAATTTAATTGTTTTAAATTATAATTTATGTATCAAACTCAAAAATATATTATTTATTAATAACAATCAATAAGAATATAAATTAAAATATATAAAACAAATTACTATATATTAATAATGAAGAATAAAAAACTTAAACAACTAAATTATAGAGTTATATAATATATAACATCAAATGTAAATCATATATTTAATTTTTTTATAATACTATCAAAGTGTTATATTTATAAAAAGAAAAAAATTGTGTGGGTTAAACTCAAATATATAGTTTTTTATTTAGGATTTAGGAATATATAATGCTATCTAGATAGATTTTAATATCTTAAACAAAAACATTTGTATTTCGAATAAAAGATAAATATATGAGATAATATTATGGAAATACAATTTAAAAAGATGTCAAAAAGATTTTGTTGGATTTATTTCATTTGTATTTCAAATAGAAAAATAAAGATATTTAAAGATATTATCATTAAATTATGTAACATTTGATAATCTTCATAATCTTCTTAAGGAATAGTCCATTTTTAAAAAAATCACACATGAATCTAGGTTGTGACTTCTGTTTTAATATATAAGATATTAGAGTAACTAGATGATAACCCGCGCGCATGCGCGGGGTAAAATTTTCATACTAATATTTATTCATTAAATGGTTTTTAACATTTTGCAATACTACAGTATTTATCGATTATAAAATGATAAATGCAAATGTTGGTATCTTAAATCATCATAGGTCTGGACGTTTGAGACTTCGTCGGTTTTAGTTTGATTGACACGTATTTTCAAATTTTGGTATTATTATCATAAATCCTATTTGAATTTTACTAATTATCGGATTGGATTTGATTTGATCTTCTCAATTCAGTTTGTATTGGATTGTAACCAATATCTGAAATCATCCCAAAAAAAATTTGTCAAACATTAAAAGTTGACAAAAAAATCAAAATATTTAAACTATTAATAAATCTAATTTTAAATTAGTTAGATTATCTAAATAAACTAAAAGATATTAAAAAAGAAGCAAATAAAACAAACTACAAAAATCTTTCGTATACTATAATTTGTATCTACTAACCTCAAACCTTTTCACTGAAATTTTTAAATTAACATATTTATAGTATGAATATCTACTAATGATATTTCATATTCGTACGCTTTATGATAATCTGTATCTTCTTTAGAAAAAAACAAAGTTAAACCCTTGATCATAAAATTTTCAATGTGGGATTTTACTATTTTTAGTTATTTATAGTCGTTTAAAAATTTAAAAATATAACCTATAAGAAAAAATTTAAATTTTTTTATTATATATTTAAATATGATTGTTTAATTTATTTTAATAATTTAAAATTAACAAAAAAGAGAGAATATACAAAAATATGTATTATTCATAATCACTAATTACATATATATGTTAATCATATTAGGTAATTCCGTAGCTTTTATTTAAAGAAATAAAATATATTGTTTTATACCTATCAGAGTTGGTCCCTTAAAAATGTCTATATTATAGCCCTAAATGTAAGAAATTAAATGTTACATTATTTCATTCCTACCAAAATTGGTCCATTAAAAAATTAAAGCTGAGAAGCTCTGTGAGCTTGACACGTAAGCATGCTCTCTAAGGTTGTGCATTTATGAATGCTTCAGGATTAATATATAAGGGATTGTGTAAGACAATCAGAGACTATCGTCATATTGAAATTCTGATTGGTAGAACAGTTGGTATGGTTGGTACGGATTGGTGCATAAAAAGGCTATTAATTAAAATGTCCACTAGTGGGCAAAAATTATTTTAAATAACAATCAGTGTTACAAAATTATTTGCTTAAACGATCCGAAAATTAATTTCATTCAACAGGTTATTTTCAAAATATTATGTAGGGATTAGTAATTCAGTAAAGCAAAAAAAATGTCTAGAAAACTAAACAAGCTATATGGTAAAAGTTAAGTTTAGAGTAAGGCGAAAACCAGTTGGTTTTGAGTTTAATTCTTAGCAAAAGATTAAGTTGACGTTGTTTCACTAAACTAAGATAGTCATAATTTGGTTTCATTAAATCTGGAATCTGATTAGTTGAGCTTTGGTGTATATTCCTTGATTTAAAAGGAAAAATTGAGTTTCAGAAAAGCGCTTGGGACGTTTAAAACTCACCGAAAGAACAAAACGCTTAGGGAATTTTTCGGAAAGATCAATAAGATGAGAGGACAAAAAATGAGTGGGGATACAGCAATAAATTGTCCACAAAACAAAACAAAACTGTACAACAAGAGAGAAGAAGAGAAAGAGTTAAGCAAAAGGACACAACATTTCTGGGTTTATCTTTTTTCAGTTTTGCAGAAAACAAAATCGCTTCTGAAACCCAAAAAGCCTTTCTTTCTGTGCAGATTTGTACTTTCAAACATTCTGCTACAAATCTTTCCTCACAAAAGCTTCTATTTGGAAAATAAAAAAATTGGAATTATTATCTGAAAATTAGACACTAAAAGTTAAATAAACGTATGCTTCATCATCACCATCTTCATTTTCTTCATTACTCTGATAATTTAACCCACTCGTAGCGTCCTTCTAATGGCTTCTCCTTCTCGAAATCAAAGTTATACCTATAATGAACAAACAAAAATCAAACTCATTTTAGTTTTCAGTTACTTGTAATCTCTATATAAAAATCAAAATGGTATAAAACTCAACATTTAAAAAAAAAACTCTCTTTAGTTGCCCAAAAGTAAAAATAAAGTTGGCATTAAAATAAATAACGTTTAAAATTTTAAAACTTACTTCTTCTTGAATTTATCATGGAGCTGTTTCTCAGCTTCCACGAAAAAATCTTCAATCTCCTCTGCCGTAGGTTGCTCCGTCCTTGGTTTCTCCTTCACCTCCGTCGTTGACAAAGTTCTTCTCCGGCTGGAACAACAATCCGATGATTCTTTCAAGGCGGAATCAAAACCAGCTACTATTTGCTGCGAATTCTCCATTGATTCTTTCTCTCTGAGGTTTTCAAATAGCTTCCTCTTACTACTCCTGAAAAAAATAATGAGAAGAGAGAGTGAATTAATATAATAAAAACAAGAACCGGGAAAATTCATAAACCTTCAAAATTCAAATGATTTTAAGACATTTACTCACAGCCGACACGACGACGTTTCGGCCTCACCATCTCTTTCCTCCTGTAACAGCAACAATACGAAAAATTCAAATTTTCGAAAAAGAAAAACAAACCGAAGATCTAGCTAGAGCAGTAAATGAAATCCTCATAAATTTTCGAAAAAAAAAAACAATAAATAAAAAATAAAACATTAATGATTGTTATCTACAGTTACAAGATTCTAGAATCCGTATTTATTGACTCACCTCCAGATCTATAACTCGATTGTTGTTACTCTCACAACAAGACGACGAAGAAACTCCATTATTATTAGCCTTTTCCGATCTGTAAAAGATTCTCCGACTACGAAGCTGCATATACGTAGACGAAGTTCCGACCGTCCCTTGAGCTTTTCTGCATTTTCTCACCATCTTGAGCTTGCGTGTTCGTGACGTTAAAGTCTCTCACGGAGAGAGAGAGAGAGATGATTGGAATGGAGAGGTCGAGGAAGACGAAAGAGTGGAAGAAAGAAGAAGATGAAGTTTTGCTTTAACGGTCAGGATTGAGTTTTGAGTTTGTGTCTTGATGGAGATATGGCGTTGTTTCTGTGGTCCCGTTACAGTGACGGGGAATCTTTGACGGGTAACTGAAGGCGCCGTTATTTGGATCGCATGCTGTTGAGTGAGTTGAGTGACACGTGTCGGTTTTTGACGGTGACTTAACGGGACGGGAACAAGGTAGCGTAATAATTGTGGTGTAACTACTTTTAAAAACCCTTCTATCTATCGCTTAATCACATTTTTGCCATTACGTATTACATGTACGGTAGAACCTCTATAAATTAATACTGATAAATTAATAATCTCTATAAATTAAAATTTCACCGATCCCAACTTGAATCGATGTAAAATATGACACATATCGATAAAATAATAAAATAATAATACTTTTAAAATCATAAATTAATAATCTAGCTATATATAATTTTATATAAGTACAATCTAACATTATATTGTTGGTTTTATATTTACTATAAAAATATTTTTATTTTTTTAAACATTTCAATATATTTTGATAATATTTAGTTAGAGGTTTTATATTTACTATAAAAATACTTTTATTTTTTAAACATCTGAATATATTTTGATGATATTTAGTTAAATTATTATGAAAACATATAACAATTCTATGAAACATAAAAATATACACCAAATAAGATAATAAAACAGTATAAAATTCAAATTATAAATTTTAAATAATGTACACATGCTAAAATCAAATATTTTTTTATTTTATAAATATCTCTATAAATTAATAAAATTTTAAAGTCCCAACATTATTAATTTATAGAGGTTTTACGGTACCAACAAAATGACAATATGAAATTTGATTTGGGGTCTATTGTTGCTAATTGTTCTTAAATTTAGGGTCTTTTTACACATCTACATGTATGTTTGATGAAACTTTAAAAGTAAGCTGACGGCACTAATTAAATATGTTTTCTTTACACATCTACATGTATGTTTGATGAAACTTTAAAAGTAAGCTGACGGCACTAATTAAATATGTTTTCTCACAGTTTTTTATATTTTGTTTTAAATATATCAGTCTCATAAAAGCGCTAATGTTTAGTTTTTGGGTTAATTTGAAAAAAACACCATTTTTCCTATTTTGAAAACTATATTTTTATATGTGATAAGACATTTTGTCCTGGTTTTAATTTAAAATTTTAAAAACTCATTTGTGATAACTTCAAAAGAAAGGGGATTTTTAGATTAGTAGCCTTTGAACCTAATCATTTTACATACTTTGAGATGCATTACATTTTCTTGTTTTAACTATAGAAACATACTTTCAGTTGTTTTATTATTATTTGATGTTTATTTTTGGGAAATTAAGATACATATACATAGCATATCTAAAATTAAGTGGCTAACCATAATAAAGACTTGATTATGATATAATACACATTGTTATGAAAAGTGATAATAATGCGCTTACCTGCATGTGAAAATTGTAATATTTCGATATGTCTTCTTCAAGATTATCACAAAGGTTTCTTTCACTTAGAAAAAAACTCTAAACACCGACGCCACATCAAGCCATTTTATTTGAGACGATTGTGAATAATCATTGGAAAAGAGAAAGAGAAGGAATTTCAGCGAAGGAGGGTTGAAGAGAGGAGGCGAGGTAGTTTGAGAAGAAAATTTAGGGTTCATGAGGTAACCAATTATGGCGGCGGCGCAATTTAGGAGAAAGAGGTAACAAGTCGTGGTAATTTCGGTTCATGATGACTAGAATTCTTAAGTGCGAACCATTCTCATCGATAATGGCACTATAAATAACTCAACAATAACTTCAACTTCGCATATATGGGGGAAGGTGTGTACGGTGGCGACATTTATAAGGTAACATAATATTGATTTCAAATTGTCCCTTTATTGTCATTTTTATGTGGAAGAAGCCAAATTAAAGTTTTGCATGTGTGTGGCGATGTTTATATGGGGATTGTACATCCATGGTTCTGGGTTGTGGAGTCGATAATGATGTATTTTGTAAGCGAACAAATTATACTATATTATCTAGAAATAGTATAGTACCGACTGATTTTGTTGTAGTCTGAAAATGATTTTGTACCATATGTTCTTATAAATAGGTTTAATTAGTAAGATATGATTAGACTTAATTTCTTGGCTTTTACAGTTTAGACTAGACTATGTTTCATACGATTGGACTATTTGGTGCTATATGTGGTGGTGTCGACAATATACTATGTTCGGTATTATTTATTATACAGCGAAGAAAATAGTATAATGGAGATGCATATTGTGTTTCGCTTGGTTGTCTTATAACAGTTATTATGTGACATATACACCTGCTAGAGAGTAGAAACGATATTATACATAGTTGAGGCTATACTATATTAAGTGGAAGATAGTATAGCGTGGTAGCTTTCACTATGCAGTGTAAATGTCCTAGAAGTTCGCTTTATATGTTATTAGTAGCCGATAATAGTATAGTACTCAGGTTTTGTTGTTACATGAAGATGTAGTGTTACTTACATCAAGCTTTCTCTGTTGCAGTTATAGGATAGAGTAAGGCTCGCCCGAGCGTCGTATAAGACACGAACCATCATGCCAGAAACACAAACAAATATTTTTGGTAATCCTACTTTTCCAACCCTTTGGTGGCATGTGAACATTGACATGATTTATTGCTTGATGCAAGTGGAAGGCTGTCATTGGGTTGGGCTTTCAACAAATATGTACTAGTGGTCTTTCACCGTGTTAGACTGGAACATTGCTTAAATTTTTGAAGCAAAATTGACAGAAAAACTTCAACTGCTTCTAGTCTTGTTGTCATTGCTTATTCGGATGCATGGTGGGAAATCCATGGACCCTGCATCAATGGATTTACCGATGCCTGTTACAAGGTAAAACTTGCCAATTTTGATTGAACAAACTGGTTCGTCCATTGTATTATATTACTCATCTCAAAATGAACTATTTAAGTATCTCTCTTTAATTGACATGTGTTACTCCTGAAAATTTTCAGGTTTAGCTTGTGTTGTGACAATTTTTCTCTTGGAACTCAATGCGACATAGCAAGTTGATTGGTGTGACACCCACACAGAAGCCTCCATTGGCGTTGCAGCACAGACATATGCAATGAGCTATTTTGTGTCATTTGTTTTTATCTTACATTAGTTTTATGTATTGACCAATGGTGTTTCTTTTAATTTCCCTTGCATATTGTTTTTCTATATTCTGTAAACCTTGTTTCGTGACTTCAATTTTGAGACAAAACTAAACTTGACTCTTTGTACAATTGTTATGTACGTTAACATTTTCAAGCTGTCAGACTAACTTAACTCTTAATTGGTTAGGCATTGTGGACATACACGGAAATGAAAGGTTTATGTTGCTTATGTGTTTGTGTTGAATATTTCATACTATATCCTGTCATGTATAGTATAGTCACTAAATAGATGAAAGTCAACCTAATAACTAGTTAACTCTTTCTTATGGCTTTATTATATGATATGTAATATATTATGACAATTTAGATTTGGACAGTTAACATTACACATACGCGCTTGAAAGGAGATTTCAATGTTTTTGTGTATAAATTGTCCCACCCTCCCTTGCAAATGTAGCATGGTTATGTTTTTTAATTTTTCCTCTCTTATTAATATAGAGCAAAATCACCTTTTATTTTTTGATTTGGGTTGTGGCTTTTGCTTATTGTTTTCTTTACGGTAGATTTTTTTTTCACTTTGTCGTAGATTAACTATGATCTCTGTTTTGTTATTTCAACTTTGTTTTTTTGCTCGTGCATTGAAGTTCTGTAAAAAGCTAATCCAACCTACAGTTTAATGTAGCCTATTTTAAAAGAATTAGCTTGTATGCTTACATCTCGGACCCTAGTTAATAACTTGCAACTCATGGTGAGAAGTGTGAGCTATTTCTCATGTTAGATAGTAATAGAGCTAGAAAAACTCGTAATCAAGTTTGCAAGTTTCTCTTGAAAGTTTCATGAGACAGTCTAGTTCCAGTAGCTATACATATCTTCACAATGATCACATGCTACACAATCGCTCACCAATTATGTTCTTTAAACTATATTTGAAAGCCTTTTTAAAACTATATTTTAAACATAACATTACTATTAGTCAGTTACAGTTATTTAATTAAAAATATTTTACAGAACATTTAATATATTTTCAGATAATGTTGGGATTATATAATTTTGAATATTTAAAATAAATTGGGCCAAAAAAATAATTTGAAACCCAAGAAATTATCGATTAGAATAATTTAATTTGTAGAATACTTTTGAGTTTATGAGGAGAATATCAACTCCTATGAGTAGGTTTTTGTTTTGGAAGTTGTGGGTTTCCCATCAATGAATGAACCTAACCAAAAGTTCGTTGTTACATAAATCTTTTCGAGGTCATCAAACATTTTTAGGACGGCAAAAGTTGACGGTGGAGCCATTATTTTTTTTCCTGAAGTTCTTTGGAGTCTTCTTTGATGGGTGTGAGTCTGATGTCGATGAAATAATAAATTTTATAAGAAATTGTTTGATGTAAAATTATACGTTTTCTTTTTTATTTAATATAGTATTTCAATTTTATAATGTATATTACTTATTTATTTATTTTAACATTTTAATATAAAATTTTAATGTAGTATTCCATTTCTAAAATTTTATATTTACTTTTCCTTATATTGTTTATTTTCGTTTCTTATACTTTTAGATAACGTAATATCTATTTTCTTTTTTAGATTTTAAGATATATGTTGAATTTTTAATGTAATATTTTCATTTTTAAATTATGTATTTACTTATTATTTATTTTCTTTACACTGTATATTTCCATTTTTATACTTTATTTACTTAATATCTATATTTTACACTTCAAAATAGCTGTTTAATGCTTAACTAGATTTTGACCCGCGCTTAAAAGCGCGAAAATTTTTTATGATTAAAAATTTATATAACTAGGTTTTGTTTT